CCTGGGTTGTTTCTGTGTTGCTATAGAGCGTGTATAACTTGATTTTAAATGATGCTATCTTTTGTCGTAATCTAGAAGAAAGGTGGGAGGAGTGTGCGATTTGATCTTATATAAGATACCTAATTCACGTACTGGTTTATATGTTTAAAATTCTTGGGTGACTAAAGAACAGAATTAATGATTGAGCTGTGATGAAGGGTTTTGGATTTATGCTTACTGTTGTGATTGTATTGGTGTGGGGTAGCTAGTGAGTAATTATAATACTGTACCTAAGCTGATTTGTTGTTCTTATCGGTCAGACAGAATGAAGTTTATGGGGCTGATTAATTTGGGTTCTGGATAGGTGATTTGACTTGATATGATGTAGGTCTGGGGGTCTGTGGAATTTGGAGTGAGAATTTGGAATTTGTTGGTGCGGTCTTATATGCGCTCTGTGCTCTTTGATGCTGTGGCTATATCGAATAACCTAAATTAGAATCTACTCTGTTAGTTGAGTGTGTAGCTGCTATAAGATGGAAAGATTCTTGAGGTAAGAGTTGTTGATAGGCTAGATGTAGTTGTTGATAATGTGATGTTTCTATTTCATGATTCAACTGCGCGTTTAGAGATTCATCGCGATTTGAGTTGCAACAATTCCAATCCCACGCCTCCAATCAACAACTGGCTCTCTGCCGAAGCAGAATCCCGAATAATTCCAATGGACGAAATATCGGCAACAGAGCTATATCGATCTAGCAGGAGATCGATCTTTATCCCCGCCGTACCAGCTTGAGTGGGGTCGATGGCGATTGACCAGATTTTGACCCTGTGGTCGTTGCCGGAGGTTGCGACCGTCAGGATTGTTGTTTCGGGTCCAGAGCTAGATGTCTGACTCTTTCTGCATTCGATGATTTGAAGAGTTGTTACTGAAGCCGCGTGGGCGTCCGGAATCGAAACCGTCACTACTTCCGCATTTTGGCATGGGTTTGTAGGCGATGTCTTCAATAAAGACACGGTCATCGAGTTGTCGTCGCTTCCAGTCAGCAAGGCATTGACATTGTCAAATATTTGCGCCAGCTCCATCGCTTTGATGCTATTGGAGGTGACTTGGTAACGGTTCTCGCAACTTATGCTCTCGGGTGAGATCTGAGAGCTATTGAGGGGTTTCTTGAGTTTCAGTTCTGACGAGCTGATTGTATAGAAAGGTTCCAGGGTGCTAGTCAAGTCCCATAGAGTGAAATATCCATCGGTCGCTGCAGTGATGAGACTGACTGAAGAGTCTTTGATCACGAATTTAGCTTGGGTCAGGCAGTTCGTCATGTATCGCCCTTGGGCCAATAGGGTGAAGCGGCCACCTTCATTCGGAGAAAAGTGGAATATCTATCAGTTCGTTAGTAAAAGTCTATATGGTTTCTTGGCGATCAGCATACCCTGATTTTCGAGTTGGAAAGAGTCAAACAAATGAGGTAACCCTCAGAACCGGATTCTTCCACTTCCACCGTATCGAAACTGGTGACGCGGAGCTCCGAATCTACCTCAGAAGTTGGACAGGTAGCAATCAAGACAGCCGTGATGCCAAAAGAAGGGAGCAATCCAACCTTCCAGACAAAAAAGTCTTCATACCCAGCACTAGTGAAGAGATACTGCCCATTCTTGGACCAGGTGACTTGCTGGACTCCACTTTTATGCTCCTTGAGAATCAAATAGGTTCTGAACGACCCCCAAGGCGCTTTATCTGCATCATTAGACGGTGACATGATACGCAAGGTTGTATCCTCTGCTCCCGTAGCGAAGAGCACTGGTCTTCCCTCAACGGCATTTCGGCAATCCAGAGATTTGATTTCTCGTCCATGAACACCAGCTCGAACAGATCGTTTGCGATTCTTTTGAATGCGGACGGGCAGTATCTGCGCGCCTTCTTGGAACATGAAAAGGGCTTCGCCACTGCCCTTGATGCCGGGGTGGAAGGTCCAAGTACGACGGAAACCACCGGAGGGGATGTGATCGACATCGGCTTGTTTAGACTCGTTTCGGAGGACAAATGTTTGTCCCCTGAATCCATATATCATCAGATCTCCGGTGTCTTCATCAAAATATACTCCTTGCAAGTGGGTGCCTAATGCCGAGGAAGTTCGATGCAGAGTTTCAAAGGATAATCCTTCGTCGCCGTCGCCGTCGCCGTTGGCCTTTATCTCATGAGCACAGTAATTACCATCGCGCCCACACGTTAGGATGAATTGAGAGGATGGGTTTTGCGGTCCATTTACGGGTGGCAGTGCCTGGATGTGGTGAGTCCCTTCCTTGCCATGTGCACGCCGGTCCAGCATAAGAGGCTCCGATGACATGTCCAGGCCCGACACTCGGTATATCGCCAATCCACCAAGTTTAGATCCAATGGCCAGATATTGACCATCGTGGGTCAGGCCTGCCGAAGATAGTTCAAATGGTCTCCTTGGCAGTGAAAATGTGGTGGTTTCAACTCGTGGGTTAGCAGTTCTCCACTCGTTCACATTTACCATCGTCGCCTTGTCATCTTTAAGATAGGTTGCAATAAACGAAAAAGATCCAGACTGCACAAAGGGCTCAAGAATAAAGAAAACCAGAGCCCGCTCGCCCAGATCAACCAACTCATAGAATGACTTCGTGTTGTGATTGTATAGTCGAACAAGGCCCTTGGAATTGCCAATCAAAGCCAATCCTAGTTCAGGCGATCCTGCCATTGTTGCAAACTTGGAGAGATCTTCCAGGACAGAAAGCTGCTCCCATGTGATTTTGGGATACTCTTCGGGTCCCAAATGTCCGAGCTGGACTTCGCTGCGCACTGAACAGGAAAGGAAACAGTCGGGTGCCACCAAACCAAAACATTTAGGGCCATGGAGTCTTGCTAGCTTCAGGTTCACCGGAGGTTCAGGCTTCTTCGGAGAGTTTATTTCCTGGATACGATAGCTTTTCAATGCGCCATCAGCCCCTCCAGTAAACACCACGGTTTCTTCACCTCGGCTGCAAAGATCCATGGACCAGATATGTTTGCCAGCATGAGAGTGCATCGAGGATGTTTGCTGAAGGAGATATTCTGTATTACCAGGTGATGATGTCTCCCAGCTCAGATCCCATTGCACAGAAGTAGAGTCCTCACCGCGAGTTACCAGGCCTAATTTGTTCGGGTTATTTCCTCTCATTGATCGGAATTTCACGGCCCAGATGCGAGCTGTGTGTCCATAGGCCTGTGCAACGCACGATTCCGATCCAAGCTCAGAATGTTCTGTGGCGGCGCTTCCAAATCCGGTGCTTCGAAGCTCGAATCCATCCGTGGAATACGCAGAGTGATCCTCAACTGACTTGTTTTCACAGTCGGAGATATCCCAAATGCGCATCGTCCGATCATCGCTGCAGCTTGCTAAGAGACGTCCGGGTTGACCATCGTTCAAAGATTGGATCTTGGGTGAAATACGCACACCGTATATTGACCCTTCGTGTCCTGTGAAGAAGTGATGGATAGATCCAATTGCTTCTGGTTTGGATGGATTTTTGTCATTGATAAAACAAGACCAGACAATTATCTCTCCAAAGGCGGTACCGGACACGATCAGGATATGGGAGGCGGACAGCGCCACCAAATCTCCAGTATATAGAATGGATTTGACGCTTGTTGTCAATTGATGCATGCAAATTGATGCATCATAATGGCTAGAAGCAGTATCCGTTAAAAGCTTCAATCCTAGAAGAGCATTGTTTGCAGTCATAAGATATACCGAGTTAGATCCGCCTGGGACTGCTGCACACCCATTCAAGATCCAGTCTGGAGCAAGAAACTCGGCGGTGACTGCGGATATCGCAATGGCTTCATTGGAAATTTTGCCGAAGACAAGTTCAATAGCTCGAACTGAAGAACTACCCCAGATAACCACTTGAACACGGTCATGTTCTTTCTGTGGCAGAGGAATGAAACCATGGACATTGTTTCTCTTGAAGCCCTGGATTTGAGCAACAACATCTCCAGTCTGGTCCTCAATGACCCGGAAAAAGGGACCTTGTCCTTTAAATACAAACAGTCTGTCCCCCCATTCAAATGTTTTCAGGGCTGTAATTGGGACACAAGCATCCACATGCTGCGATTAGAGTCAGCGTAACAATTTCATGTAGAAGGAATGTGAGGAGGGGCATGCAAACCTCAAGAGACGTGGACATTCCCATTAACTCCGACATGCTTCTTACATGAAGGACATGAAGTATCAAATATAGATTCTTTCCCCGTTCAACGTGATTAATGCCAGCCCACCAAACAGGAAGGCACCCTCAAAATTGCAGAAAATATTATGTCATCCCCGTTTGTCCCGCACTAGACCCAAAATGGCTATATTGTCCACGTGATTCCGCGCCGGTCCAGGCGGCTCCATCGGTGCTGTCGGGCGTACCGCTGACGGGTTTTGAAAAAGCTACTAGTACATTAGTATTGCTTATTCTTTTTGAACTCCTAGTAGCATGCAAAAGCGATCGAGCGACGGCTAAAAAGCACCTCTCTATTACATACAAAAAAATAATTAGTGACACCCTACACCTATATATGCTTAGGTAGTGCCCGTTCTTAGTTCATATACGTTCCATGCCATAACCAGATAATACAGCCAGCATGTTCTATAAAGCAAAGAGCTGCTCATTAAGCCATCCTTTCTTTCAATTCTTTATTAAAAGGCCACTGTCTACATATATTTTTTCATGATCTTTAAGGTGCTTTATACCTAGGTGCAGGATATTGATGTTCCCCGTTGGCCAATCATAACACACGGTTTGCTTAATAATACTGAACGGGGTGAAAATCGGATAATGAGTAATTCCGACTGGCCTTGGTGCTCCACTTTTTTTCAACCCCCCCGTTAGCTAGGCTCCATCGGTGCCGTCATCGCGCGGAACCCATCGACCTTGGATCCATGCTCACCTCACTAACAAGCTTCCACCCCTCCTGTCGTGGTCAGCAGGTCGGATCGGAATCGAGATCGAATGACTCCTTACCCTGAGCAACAATGGGTGTCACCGGTCTTTGGACCGTAGTGCAACCTTGCGCTCGACCCATCAAACTCGAAACTCTTAATAAAAAGCGCCTGGCTGTCGACGCGTCTATATGGATCTACCAATTCCTCAAGGCAGTGCGTGATAAGGAGGGAAACGCGCTGCGCAATTCACACGTCGTTGGCTTCTTCCGCCGGATATGTAAACTATTATATTTCGGAATTCGACCCGTCTTCGTCTTCGATGGCGGCGCCCGTGCCTAAAACGACAAACCATCGCGGGCAGAAAGAAGAGACGCGAAGGTCGCCGAGAAGATGCGACGCGGACGGCAGGGAAGCTGCTCGCTGTGCAGATGCAGCGTAGCGCCGAGGAAGAAGCTGAAACGCGACGCCGAGAAAAGAAACGTCAACAAGAGGAAGAAGAGGTCACTGAAGCACCCGTCTATGTAGATGAAGCTATGATGAACGAGAAAGAGAAACAACAGACTCGCAAGTTCAAGAAGAAGGACGCGTATCATCTGCCAAATCTTGACGTCTCCTTGGAAGATATGGGTGCTCCGAATGACCCCCGCATCATGTCACAAGACGAGCTGGAGGAATATGCGAGGCAATTCCATCAGGGCCAGGATATCAATCTCTACGATTTCTCAAAGATCGACTTTGATAGTCAATTTTTTCTTAGTCTACCGGCTACCGATCGTTATAATATCTTGAACGCGGCGCGACTTCGGAGTCGACTGCGAATGGGTTATTCGAAGGAGCAGCTTGATACCATGTTTCCAAACCGGATGGACTTCTCGAGGTTTCAAATCGAAAGAGTAAAAGAGCGCAACGATTTAACCCAGCGACTAATGAATATCAACGGGATGAATGGCGAAGAGGCATTCTACAACTCTGGCCAGAGAATTGCCGGAGAGCGTGGCAGGGAATACGTTCTCGTCAAAGATAGCCAACACGAAGGTGGCTGGGTTCTGGGTGTCGTTGGGAACAAGAATGAAGGCTATGAAGACAAACCCATTGATGTTGATCAATATGGCCAACCAGAGTTTCTCTCGGGATCCGAGGACGTGTCGGACGAAGACGAGTTCGAGGATGTCCCGATTGAAGGTCTCAACAGACTTCCCAAACTTCCTTTCTTGCAAGAAGGTGCCTTTGATCAGTCACTTGAGCAAGCGCAGGAAGACGCGCACATGCAAAAAGCACTGTGGGAACCACGCAAATCTGAGGCCGGGCGAGGACAAGCCGAGGCCGACGAAGACGCGCTTTTTGTCCAGGGTGATGATAATGTCCTCCCACAATCGGACACCGGGGTGTTCGAGGATGAGGACGATGAACTAAGAGAAGCTATCGCACTCTCGCTGCAACCTCACGAGGAACATGATGAATATATGCCTGATATTCCGATCAACCGACCGACCATTCCGGCAGCCCCTCCTGCACCTACGATGGACATGCTGATTGAAAGCGATGATGACGACGATGGAATGGATTTCGCAGCCGCCATCGCGCAGACAAAGCTCGTCAAGGATAAACCTCGTCCGCGTGTAGAGAACCCATTCAATGGCCCTCTCCCGTTTGAGTCTATCCAGCTTAACAAGCTCCCTCAGCCATCCAAGCAAGCAAAGCCCGATGAACATGCCGGTGGCTTCATGAAAGACACCGACAGGGCAAAGAAAAAGACTGAACCGCCTCCCCCTTGGTTTGTTGGTGAGCGCCTAAATGAAAAATTCATCATAGATACCACACGCGAGGAGGCTCAAGATGAAGATGGACGTGATGCAGATGAACCTGATCATTTCTTTCTGTCCAATCGTCGATCACCAGAAATTATCGATGTTGATGACCTCTCCGAAACAAAAGAAGTGATTACGCTCGAGGCGGACGAACCTGAAAAGGAAGAACCCGCGCCTCAAACACATTTCGAGATCCCTCCGGCTGACCAGCTGGAGACGACCAAAGAGGAGCCAGTATTCGAACCATTGGCGGAAAGAGCAAAGTCCGAGACAGCGACCAAACCCTCTGATATCCCAGAGGCAAATGGTATTGAAGAATCTCAAAAATCGATCCCTGAACAAGCGGAAGTGACTCAACAGCAAAAACAACCCGTCAATATTGAGCCTTCTCCCGAGCCGTCCCCCGAACCCGAGTTTGAGGATGTGTTAACTGAGGCACCTGTGCCGGTTTCTGCTACACCCGCACCTGCGCCTGCGCCGGAAATTGTCGTGGTCTCCAACCAGAACTACGAGTCTCAAGGACCGATTCAACCTCCGATTGTGATGGAAGACGATGGCGAATACAGCGACCCGGAAGATGAAGAACTTCTCAGGCAGCTTGCGGCCGAGTCAGAGGAACACGTCCGATTTGCCCAGGTTTTGAACTCGGCGGCGCCCATCCAGGACGCACTTGATTATGAACAAGAACTCAAGCAGCTGCGTAATCAACATCGCAAGGACCAACGTGATGCAGATGAAGTGACCCAAATCATGATCAACGAGTGCCAGCAATTACTACGGCTATTTGGACTGCCCTATGTCACCGCGCCCATGGAAGCGGAAGCACAGTGTGCGAAGCTTGTCGACCTCGGACTCGTGGATGGTATTGTGACGGATGATAGCGATATTTTCCTCTTTGGTGGGAACCGAGTCTACAAGAACATGTTCAACCAAAGCAAGTTTGTGGAATGCTATCTAACCTCCGACCTGGAGAAGGAGTATGCCCTCCACCGGCAAAAGCTCATCAATTTTGCACACCTTCTAGGCAGTGATTATACCGAGGGTATCCCGGTATTGGACCCGTCACCGCATTGGAAATCATCACCGAATTTGGCAGCTTGGAGGAATTCCGCGACTGGTGGTCGCAGGTGCAGATGGGGGTCAACAACCTTGACGATGCTCACCTTGCCTTTCGGAAGAAGTTCCGAAAGAAAGCGTCCAAGATCTTCCTGCCTCCTGCTTTTCCCGACCTACGGGTAGACGAGGCGTACCTCGAGCCCGAGGTCGATGCAGACGCCTCGCCCTTCCAGTGGGGAGTTCCGGACTTGAATGGACTACGAAATTTTCTCATGGCGACAATCGGCTGGAGTCCCGAACGCACAGATGAGGTTCTTGTGCCAGTCATTCGGGATATGAATCGACGAGAGCAAGAAGGCACGCAGTCGAATATTACACAGTTCATGGCGGGCCCACAAGGAGCTGGAGCATTTGCGCCACGTGTGCGTGGTGCTGGGCCCAGTCGGATGGAGAAGGCGTTTGGGCGACTTCGACAAGAAGCGCAAACTCTGACGGGGAGAGAATCTCATGGTGGTGAGCCTTCAGGAAGTCCAGGGTCCGAACCGGGCCCTAGACCTGAGGCTGGGGATGCTGCTACAAGCCAAGGCAAGCGTGGGGCGCCCACTACGAAGAAGGGAGATGGTAAGAGCCAAGGAAGCAGCAAGAAACGTAAAACACGAGGCTCTTGAGAAAGGGTTGTATGTATAGATATATGATAGATAGGGATAGCAAGTGGTGCAGCATAATATCGAATGCACATCCCGATCGACAGTACTACTACTCGGTAACTTGAAGGTGTCTTGACCCGAACGAGTGGTTATGGCAGAGGAACTGGCCACTGATAGCGGCGAACCGAGAATTGTCGACTGGATCATCCCCCACTGATCTTCCTGATAAGCAGTGGTGACCTGCATTCCAGCTCCCAGCTCCAGCTCCAGCTCCCCACGAAGATCCACGGCCTGACAGGAACCCCCCCTCTGATCTGAACCTGATCCATCTCAATGTCATGAAAGGTTTTCTCCTCTCTTTTTTCTTACTGCAACGCCAATGACTCGATGACATGGTTGAGTTCTGCAGGAACAGCCCGTCAGTGTCAAGCGCATGACATCAGGTCCGAATTCGATGACGTCGGCGATCGTGGCGCAAAATTGCAGCAACGAAAGAACTTGAACAAGCTGGTGCTACTGCGGGTCTGCGGGCCCCGATCGAACCATTGGAAGGTGTAGCAAGGTCAATTGAAGGTTTTCTAGCGTTCGCATTAGTGGTTGAGGAGGGGACCATTTGATCCGCCTTCTCCGGGGCAACCAGTACTCTGTAGACTGTGAGTAGACTGTGAGTAGACTGTGAGTAGACTACTGTAGACTAGTGGCACTTGCTGTACAGCTCTACGACGTCACTAGGGAATCTCATCCTCACCAACTCCCCTAATAATCTACTCCCACGCTTCTTCCCTCGACTATTCTCCTCCTGAAAAACCCCTGTGTCGATCTCCGGTTGCAGCTCGATTTCCGCCCTGCTCCGCTCAACGTGAGTTCCCTCCTTTTTTCTTTCTTTTTATCTCACGTCACTACTGCGCAAGATTCTCTTTCTCTCTCTCTCTCTCTCTCTCTCTCCTATTGTCCTGCGCCTTTTACGATCCAAGACCTTTAACTCCCTCCACTCTGCAGGTACCTCGCTTCGTCCTCCATCACCCGCACCACCTCGAGTCCTCCACCTTCGTACCCGACTCAACCTCGCATTAATTCACCAATATGCATCGCACCTATTCTATGCGCCAGTCGCGCGTTCCGACCGCCGCTCAGGTCGAGAACCCCCCCACCACCCATGTCCACCACCAAATCGAACCGCTGGCTCGGAAAGGGAGGCATCGGTGAGTGAGATGAGATATCTGTTGTGACTCCGACACTCCTACCTGGTGCGACCAGAGCGCTGGACCATGAGGGGGATAATTCCCGAATGCTGCCTGATCGGGTCGGGATCTCCAGCCTCTCCCGCGTTCCCGCTCCGCTCCACCCCCAATTCCAAGTGGATTTCGCGGATCAAAATTGCGCAGACGGTCGAGAGGGACGAGCACACAGAGATTGATTTCCAATTTGAATCCGCCATCGCTAATACGTCCACAATCTAGGCCACGCCTTCCGCAAAAATGCCGCGGGTGCCTTCGGGCCTGATCTCGCCCGCAAGCTGTCGCAACTCGTCAAGATGGAGAAGAACGTCATGCGCAGTATGGAGCTCGTCGCGCGCGAGCGCATGGAAGTCGCTGTATGTCGATCATTGATCATCCATTAATCCGGGAAATTGCCGGGCAGGAATGGAGAAGAGAATGCTAACCGAGCCGCTAGCAACAATTGTCCATCTGGGGCGAAGCCTGTGACGAGGACGTATCGGATGTCACGGACAAGCTCGGTGTCTTGATCTACGAAATCGGTGAGCTGGAGGATCAGTTCGTCGACCGCTATGACCAGTACCGCGTGACCATCAAGAGCATCCGCAACATCGAGGCTTCCGTACAGCCCAGCCGAGACCGTATGCGCACCCCAGCAACCATGCATGAATCATGGCCCTTTCTTTCAGCCTCAAAAAGCTAACCCCAATCCAGGCAAGCAAAAGATCACCGATGAGATCGCCAAGCTGAAGTACAAGGACCCCAACTCGCCGCGCATCGTCGTCCTGGAACAGGAACTCGTCCGCGCCGAGGCCGAATCCCTAGTCGCCGAAGCCCAGCTGTCAAACATCACTCGCGAAAAGGTCAAGGCAGCCTTCCAGTACCAATTCGATGCTCTCCGCGAACACTGCGAGAAGGTCGCTATCATCGCCGGCTACGGCAAGCACCTCCTGGACCTGATCGACGACACCCCCGTAACACCCGGCGAGACCCGCCACGCCTATGACGGTTACGATGCCAGCAAGGCCATCATCCAGGACTGCGAGGATGCGCTCAGCAACTGGGTTACCTCCAAGTCCGTCGTCAAGTCCGGCCTTTCGCAGCGCTCGCGCACTCTTTCCCAGCGCCACCGCAACGCCATTAAGAGCCGCGAGGGCGTTGATCTTTCCACTCAGGACCAGCCCATGACTGGAGACCGTGACTCCTGGCTCCCCGCTGACCAGCACCCCGGCTATGTAGACGAGGATGGTCTCAGCGCCGTGGACGGTGAGGGACGAGGACGCGAGGAGGAGCGGGAGCCCATTGCTGCTTAGGTGACGTGATACAGAATCTTTGCTTCTGTTCTGTCCCTGAGTTTGTTAATGCGTTTGTTACTCTCCTACTCGATCTGTCTTGGTGTCTTATTTCCCTTAAACCCTTCTCGTCCATTTCTCCTTCTCTTTTTCTCCTTTTTTTTATTGTCACGAATCTCACGGCTTCGCTTGTGCTCTGCAATCACGTCTTGTCTGTGCCTCCAACTGCACCTGCACGCAGATCCTCCACCATACATTCACCCCCACATTCATTTATCCCACGTTTCTCCTGCCTTCCCGATGGTGTGTGTCATCGCATCGCATAGACATCGGTATGCGGATATCTCTCGAAGGGACTATTCCGGCGTCTGCATCTGCATCTGCACCTGCACCTGCACCTGCACCTGCACTTGCATTTACCCGCTCCAGGAAATCACCAGGATCGCCAGATGTGGGTAACATGCAGCCCTTGCAGCCGGCTAGTCCGTGAATATAAGACTCCGGACTATACATACCAGGTGCTAGGCGTCTTGGCAACCAAACCATCCAAGAAACTATCGAACTATCGCGGGGCGGAAGGATATGGCGTGGAGGGTCCAAGTTAAAGTGGTCACGCAATTCTGTCAAGTCTCTCTATTCAAGCCTATCACGTTTGATGTAATGGGCGGTTGCCTCCGCTCCTTATGTGCCCCTCCGCATGATATGATGACCGCCGCAATGTCGTGATATAGCATCCGTTGGTCGTGCTCGTTCGGCTCTAGACCCATTGGGGAATGATCAGGGCGGGCCGGGGGGTCGGTGTTGTCAAGTCAAGTCGTCCGGGCTACAGCCAATTGGTTTTCTTGAACCTTCGAATTATTTGAAAAGAAAAGAAAGAAAAAGGAAATGATTCTCTGGCGATCTTCGACGTCCCGACGACAACGCTCGGTAAGGTTTGATTGAAAAAAGGGTTGATGACATATTGGTCCTATTACCTCTCTTACCCTGTTGCCCTAGTGCCTTATTACCTCTTCCAGAGCGGGGATGGCGTCAACTCATGGCCAGAATACGCAACGGGTTTTTTTGTGCTGACGATTCCTCTGATTTTGAATGTGCGCTTGTGACTGTGCTTTTTTTTCTTTTCTTTTTCCCTGTCTTGTTTTCTTAATGTAATACCATCTCGTGTTGGGGTTTTGTTTGTGGATGGATGGGTAATCAATTAGGTGTTAATGAATTTGTTCAATTGATCTCTATCTTCAATATGATATAATAGGACCTAGCGGACTAGATAGATTAAAGTCTTTTTTATACCCAGGTCTAGTATGCAGTATGGATTAGTTTCGAGTAATAGTTAGTACCTCTTCGCTCTGCTATGTATGATAGCTACCGTAGTTGCAGTTAATACTTAGAACTACAAGGGGTGTAACTATTACGAGGGACTAGAATGAAAAGAAGAGGACACGCCGGTCCAGAGCAATCATTTCTGTGTGCAAACTGCGAATCCAACCCGGTAGGATAGGAAAAAAGGAGAAACAAGAACCGAGAACGGAGAAAGGAGAAAAAAGAACGAGGGAAAAAGCAGACCCGCGAGAAACATTGCAAACCGATAGCTAAAGCCCATCGGCACCGACACAATCCAAAACAACATTAACACCACACCACAAACACACCACATCCATATCACCCACATCGCATCTTATCGTCACCTATCCTGGCCTGGATAGGGCATGCCGGGGAAAGAAATCCACAAAGAGAGAAAGATAAGGAAGGTAAGGCAAGGAGAAACAGATCCTATAGTATTTCCCTGTGTGAGGACGAAGGAAGACCCAGGTAGAGGAGAGATGGGGGATAGAAGAGACAGGAAAGCCCGGGTATAGGAACGGGAGAGAGATAGAGAAAGGTAATAGTCAAGGATCAAATGTTTTTCCAAATCAAACCAAACCAAACCAAAAAGAAAGGAAAAGAAAGACTCCGATTCTGAGCACAAGAGGACCATCCCTGAGAATCGCAGAAGCCACGGTCGGCAAGGGCCGAGTGGAGAACGAGAATTGGAGAAAGGTCGTGACATCGTCATGGCCCGCTACCACATACCATCTGTGGAGCGGAGCCGCGCAAATAGGTAAAACAAAAAGTAAGGCCCGTCATACCAGACGGGGTGGGCAAGGAGATGATACATGAAACGCGCAACGGGATCAGACTCGAGCAGTTCGCAGACAGTATTCAAGAGAGAAGGACGACAGCAAAAGAGAGAGAAAAATGAAGAAGCTCAAAAAGCATAGCAAAAAAAAGGGACGGCAGCTTTGATTTTGAGTTCTACTCATCAGTGCCGACGCCCTTCTTTTTTGGCTGAATATGTTTTTGGCCGCCGCGAGTAGTGCTTCCTTTGGAATTCTCCAGGCAGAACTATCTTGCGGAGCGCCCGGCAAGCGCGGAGCAGTTGCCTCGTGTTTCTCTGTGAGAAGATTCTTCAACCAGCGGTTCTCCATCTCGAGCTGGGCGACGCGGGCCTCGAGGGAGGCGTTCTTCTCAGTTG